TCTATCTATCTATCTATCTATCTATCTATCTATCTATCTATCTATCTTTGGTTATCCGGTTTTTCTCCCGCATAAAATTGGGAGTATCTAGGCGACGTTTCGATGAAGTCTCATTCATCATCTTCAGGCTTGTGTCTTCGGCTTTGTGCTTCTTGGAATAATGTGAGCTTGCAGCTGCTTCTTCCTTTTAACTGCTAGTGGGGGTGTGACTTGATTGGGTGAGGGCTTGGCTGTGTTCTGATTGGCTGGGGGTGTGTTCTCATTGGTTGGGGTTTGGCTGTGTTCTGATTGGTTGGGGAGTTGGCTGTGTTCTGATTGGCTGGGGGTAGTGAGGATTAGTGTGGGAATTGTAAACTATCCCAAGAACATAATATGAAGAGAGAAGGCAAGGAACTTGTGCTTCCTTAGGAGCAGCAACTGCTGGGAAGGGCATTCCTAATTACACAGGGAACAACAGAGCAAGTGTCAAACTCTTTCAACTACCTTTCAACTATTTATGTTATGTCATGCATAAGATGGACATTGTCAAGGTTTCATACCCTCTAGATCCAACAGCTGATCCACACATTTATAAAAGAAAGGAAAAGGAGCTGCAAAGTTCCAGATTCTCTTGAGGCAAAAAAAAAGATGATGGGTAGGTAAAGAAATCAGGCACCAGAGTGAAGATACTGGATTCTTAGGAAATCACTTGGAGTGAGAACATTGTTGATATGGCATATATTGTTTCAGGTTGCCTCCCTGATGCATATTAATATGTTCTACATTGGCTGCACATAGTCCCTTCTGGCAGGATATTAAGGAAAACATTACCTCAGAGCATGCTGAAGTACCTTAAAAGCGTCCCTGGACTAACTCATCTACAGGTAGAAGCATGCCGACTTGGGGAACATTAGTAGGTCATCTTCAGGCCAAGAAAAGAAAGATGTGTTGATGTTCCCCATATCAGTGGATTTATCTCATATTTTAAAGCCATGTGTTAACTTTTTAAGCACATTTCAAAGAAAGGCAGTGCCCACTATATTACTATTAATCCTAGCCAAACTTTTACTCATATATATATGCAGTTTGCATAATAGGCATGACATTGTACAATACCAGAACCAATGCCATCCCATCCAGCATACATAAAGAGTATGATCCTCCAATATTAGTTCTGCGGCATCTATCCTTTAAAAAAAAAAGTTTAGTGCCTCCCCTTTCCTTGGATTTTTTGAAACATGGGTATTACCTCTTAGTCCCTCTCCAAATGGATCCTGGTTCCATCACTTTTGGAGTGTGGAACCAGTGTAGTGTATTTCCATCTCACCACTAATGTGGCATTTCCAACCCCCACCACATTTTCTGTTCCATGATGAAAGTAGTGCTGCTCAGTGTTAAAGGTTGCTTTCTGGTTTTCCTGCTGAGCTTTCTTCAAGTGCTGTGCTCTGATCTGGCAGTGTGCAGAAACAGGAACACCTTATCTGGGTCAGTGGTCATCACTCTGTAACAGCCTAAGCTGCAGCTACTATTACCATGGTGTTTTAGTAGCATAATGGCCATAGCACCTGTGTGTGATATAAAGAGTACTCAAATCCCAGCAGAGCTACCTATTTATTTGTTGGTTTTAATTTTTTAATAAGTCCACTGATACACGATTCCAGCTGTTTTTCCAGTTTTACTTGGGAAAGAAAGATTTCATTCCAATTCTCAAATAAGCCAGATGAATAAGTACTGCAGTTACAATTAACTACCGTAAGTACCTGGAAAACAAAATAAAAAGGCTTCTTCTTCCTCCTCTTCTCCTCCTCCTCCTCCCAAGTATCTCAGACAAAAAATAAATTAAAACACTTATGCTGATTTCAAAGATGTAAAATTCTGCACATTAAACAAATGGTATAACCACTCTCCTGCTGAGAGATTCTTTTGTCTGTGGGAGTCTAATTTAGTTTTGTATGCATATATTTTGTTGTGTGAGTATAGATGTAAAAGTGTATATATCCAGTAAGACGTGCCTGCAGAAGAGATTGGCAGTTGGTTTCCCTATAAGGAAATTTGGAAAGGTATAGTAACTGGGGAGTTGCCCAGCTGGGAACATGCTAGCTGGCAATCTAGTTTGAACATCTGGCAAATTGCTGCCAAAGCCCTCAAACCAGACAGAATTTTCTTAAAGCAGTATAGAAGTCAGCTGGCATCAGTATGCAACGCAGCTGCTTTAAGGATGCAGTATTGTCACAGTGTAAGTCTGTAGTTCTTTCTATTAACACTTGATTCTGGTATATTAGAAGTCTTTCTGTTTCACTACATAGCAGATTGCCCACTATAATTGACTTTGGCTTTTGTTGTGGTTGCTTTTGCAATTTCATATATCTCTCAAAGCAAGATGTATTTACAATAGGGTATATATACAGACCTCAAATTTATTTTTCCATCTTTGTACTGTAATTGAGTCATCCAGGGGCTTTTCCTTTTATTCACAATAAAAGAAAAGTTGTGAGTTGTGATTTCTTTTTCATGTACATATGAATTGAGATAATTAGGATGAGCTAATAGAAATGAATGAGATGAGCAGAATATGCATGACCTTAGTGCATTTCACTGCATTTATTATAGGAAGCCTTACTTTTCCTCTCTATGGTATTCCTGTAAGAATTGGAGGATTATTTTACTGAAGAAAGTTTTATACTGAGTCAGCAGTGGAGATACACTCCTAAAATAGGAGATACATTCATGCTGATTTAAGGTTTTATTTATTTATCAAACTTGTATGCCTCCCATTTTGCCAAAGATGGTTCTAGACAGCTTACAGATATTGAATAAAAGATAGATTAAACATTAAAACAATAAATACAAGTAATAAATTCCTTTACTGATGGGCCCTCAGCATGCCTCTTCAGCCGGCATGGGTGGAGTGTGCTAATCCATCAAATTGAGCCAGCTTCTCAGATAGACTGAACCCATGCCATGAAGGACTTTCAAGGGGATAACCAACATTTTGAATTGGACCTGGAAGCAAACTGGAAGTCAGTGCAGCTCATGAAACAGCAGTATAATATGACCTACCCCAAGGGCCCCAATAATTGCCTGCGCAGCTGCATTCTACATCAAGCTTCTGGATACCCTTCCAGGGTAGCCCTATGGAGAGTGTGTTGTCCAAGCATTAGATGACCAAGACTTGAGTGAGTGCAGGGACTCCCAATCTAGAAAGGGTGCAACTGGCCCATGACATGAAGTTATGCAAAGGCTCTTCTAGCCTTGACTGCAATCTCAGCAAGCAGGAGACACAACTCCAGGATAACACCAGATTATGCACTGGTCTGCCTGGGCTAGTACAGCCCCACCCAAAACTAAAGAAATCCTAGAACCAGAACCAGAACCTTTTATTTATTTATACCTTACTTTTCAGAGCAAATTACCAACAAAAGTAAATTTAATATCTGTGAGCTGCATGATGATGATGATGATGAATGTTAATGCTTATTATCTCAGCACTCCTGAAAAAACAAAACAAATATTGACTGAGTAATATTGATAGGACATACGTAGTTTTAGCTGAACTTGTAAGAATCTACAGTGATCGCATAATCCTTACATATTCACCCAGAATG